CAGGTGATGTTCCTCCATGGTTCTGCAAAGGTCGAACAATACTCCTTCCCAAAAAAGGAGACTTGACTGATCCCAAAAACTTCCGCCCTATCACATGTTTGAATACACAATACAAAATATTCACAGGGTGTTTGACAAACCTCGTGTCATCTTACTGCTCTTCCAATGATATAATTTACAGAGAGCAGAAGGGAGCAAGAAAGGGATGTTGGGGGTGCAAGGATCAACTTCTTGTACAGAAAATGATTTTGGAAGAGGCAAAAAAGTATCACCGCAACCTCTCCATGTGTTGGATTGACTACAAAAAAGCATACGACTCTGTCCCTCACGAATGGATTCTGAAGTCTCTTCATTGTATTGACCTCCCTGAGCGACTACTTGATTTACTCAAGTCTTTAATGAGTTGCTGGTCGACTCAACTTGAGATGTACTCGCAAGGGCAGGTGCAGACTTCGGAATCTATTCCAATCAGAAGGGGAATATTTCAGGGGGATTCCTTTAGTCCTTTGCTTTTCTGTCTGTCTTTAAATCCTTTGAGCTTTCTGCTCAATAAAGAGGAGGGTTACCATCCCGGACCTCCTCAGCACAGATCCCCAACACCTCTTACTCATCTCCTTTACATGGATGATATCGAGCTCCTTGCCAAGGGAGATACCAATTTGAAAGAACAGGTTCTCCTTGTCGAGTCCTTTTCGAATGATATTGGCATGACATTTGGACTTGACAAATGTAATACTCTTCATTTGAAACGTGGCAAGGTTGTTAACGATGGATCGGTCAAGTTACAAGGGGGAGGAGTTATTGAGCATCTTGTGGAAGATCAGGCCTACACCTATCTTGGAATGCAAGTTCGAGACAAGCTCCAGAATGCCCAGATTCAAGACAAACTTCGGGCTGAGTACAAATCTCGTTTAAAGAAAATCTGGAGTTCAGAGCTAAATGCTCGAAACAAGGTCAAAGCCACCAATACTTTTGCTGTGCCAGTCCTCTCCTATTCCTTTGGAGTAGTTGATTGGACAAAACAAGACATCCAGAGTCTTGACCGTCTGACCAGAAGGATCATGTCTGATAACAGAGCCCACCACCCTCGTTCCTCTCTTAACCGTTTATACATGCCAATCAATTCTGGAGGTCGGGGTTTGATTAATGTGGAGGCTCTTCATGACAGAATTTTATTGTGTACTTTTGCACATATTTATTTATCAGATGATCCTCTGGTGATGCATGTGAAGACTCATGATGAAAGCAAGGAATTCCACAGCTATTTTAAGCGTGCCAAGGTTGTTGGACAGAATCTGAAATTTGAGGTTGACTTTGCTGATGGCAATGTACTGCTGGACGGTACAGCGATGGGAGTAAACCAGGTGAAGTCCTTCACCAAGTCTGCCCAGAGTCGGTCTTTTGTGGAGAAGCTTTCTGAGAAGCCATTGCATCGTGTGTACATGCAGTGTGTTGAACAGAATAGCAATCCCACCGACTCCTTCGCCTGGATGAAGTCGGCTGGTCTTAAATGTGAAACTGAGGGCTTCCTTTTGCTGCTCAGGACCAGTCACTTCCCACTCGTAATCGCCTAAATGTGATTCTTAAAGAGAATATTAATATGAAATGTCGACTTTGCAATGAATTCACAGAGACTGTCCAACACCTTGTCAGTGGATGCCCTTCCTTGGCACAAACAGCATATCTTAAACGACATGATGGCATGGCTCGTTGCTTTTACTACCGTCTCCGACATGCCTGTGGCTTTGACTCCGAGGTCCATCCATGGTACGACCCTGAAAATGTCCAGAGCGTCATGGAAAATGATGCTTTCAAACTTCTCTGGAATAGGCCCATATACAGCCTGCGGAGAATTCCAGCCAACAAACCTGATCTTGTCCTTTTTGATAAAGCCAATGAATTTATATATATCATTGAATTTTCTGTCCCTTTTGACAGGAATGTGATTGACAAGATTAAGGAAAAGCATGATAAATATGCGGACCTCGCCTTTGAAATGTCTCGCTTGCATCCCAAGTACACTGTCGTCAGGCTCCCCATTGTTCTCGGTGCCCTTGGTTTGGTACCTCCTGATCTCTTGGCGCAGATCAAGAGAGTGCCCGGGTTCTCCACCGGGAGCACAGCTCTTCTGACACTCTGGGTAATGCAGAAGGCTGCAGTGTTGGGGAGCCTTCATATTCTCCGGAAAGTTCTTGGTGGGTTCGACTAGGCAGCGTTTCCTGGGAGAAGTCCCATTCGCTGTCTGGGCTGCGTGTAGAGGGGGCAAGGGCCCTGAGCTGATGATGAGCCTTACCAGCCTGACTGTGCCAGGATCACCCGAACCCTCTCTGCTGCATACTATCTTTAATCTGTAAAACATAATAATAATAATAATAAAAACACGAACGATTACAATAGGTCTCCTGCCTAAAGGCAAAGGAGCCCTAATAATATTGTTATAAACAACCTTGCTAAATACAGTTTTAGCTATGAAAAAACGTACGAAATACTCTGCATCATGCAGATCTTGTGTTCACATTTCTGTATGCAATTGCACCTCTGTATCCATGTCATATAAGTTTTATGGCGCTTTATGTCATTCATAAACCTTCTGATATGTATGTGCATAATGGGCCGGTGGCCCCCTTACTGAACAAACACACACGATCGGGCGACCACTTGAACGACTATGCCTTTCAGTTTTCCAGCTATTACAAATATGAAGATGGACAATTATTTAAGGATAGACAACTAACTTCCTTTTAGCAATATATGCGACGTTTCGATGTAGGTGCTAACAACGTTATCAAGCAAGTGACAAAGTTTTAGTACAGTATTCAGACGTTCGCAAAGCCATTGTCATTTCAGAAAATAGGCCAGTATCTCCTCACACTTCTGCCAGCTCTATCCTAGGCCTGCATGCCCTTTGAGGCTCATACGCCGTCCGATACACACTGACTTCGAGATATTTCAATTAGTGTACAAACTACCAACAATCAGTGAAGTTATATTTCACCATGTAAACATTTTCACATTATCATCCAAACCTGTGTTCCACAGGAGATATTGCTTGTGTGAGATCATACGATATCTCCTAGGGGATATCATTTTGACAGTAGAGTTTGTACAATGCCCTGACAATGCTTTGACGTCATGAACTTGATGACGTCACAATGCTATGACATTCCTGCACTGCAAGTCTAATGGCAGAACCTTGTTCATAGATGTACATTTTCCACTGAGAACTAATGAAGAATGATTTTTATGATAGATATAATGATAGATAGAATCTCACCCTCATATCTTCTGATATCAAATATATCAACACTCGTTGATAAAAGTAAAAGTATCCTCGGCAAGCCTAAGATATTTGTAACTTTATCAACTCGTGGTGATATATTTGATATCAAACGACACTCGTGTGAGATTCTCTATATACGGCAAGTAGCCATTGTAGAAACTGCATCACCACTTTGAGTGAAGAATGTGTGTTTGCAGCTGATAGGTAAACAAGGTACCTAGCCCATTGTCCAGGTATCAGTCATGGCCTGTCTACTTTGATGTCCTGGAGTGTGACTATTCACTCTCAACGCTGGATAATACGAAAACCTGAGACATGAATATATTAAGTTGGTTATAACCTCCTGTCAAAGCAGCATTGAATAGTGTACATGCACCAGTGACAATCGTCCCGATGGAAGGGGTCTACAGTCTCCACAACAAAATCACGTCCTGTACACTTTTGCAACGAAGGGGAAGGTCATCGAAACGTTGTGTTTAAACATGACAATGGCATTCGAATTAAAAAACTGTTTGAGATAACAATTTAGTGAAATATAACTTTATTCCACCCGGTAAGAATATGGAAGCTAAATAGTTGAATTGTCTGCAGGTTGGTTAGATGCAGTTGGAAGTTCACAATGGATTCGGTACTTAGTGTACCCATATCAGTGATTCCAATCTAACCCCAATGATATTGTATTTCTCTTCCAACCGATCATTTCGAATTATATGAATTGCAATTAGAAGTAACACGCGTTGTGGATGTCATCGTCTGTAACATAAGAAACATGACGGTTTGGAAGGATTTATTTATTGCAAATGAATCGTTCACATAATATTGTGGTGAAGTATCGGATGCAACTGTTCGCGGCACTATTCTATCGGGATAACAATGCATTGCAGCTCCATGCATAGTCTAGGTCATGTAACTGACAAATCTATAGATCTGTGCTGTATGCATTATTGTACGCATATCGTGTTCGGATAGACGTTTTGATAAGTGCGTCCCCTGCATGTATGTATGAAGAATATTCGTGGGAAGTGCATTTTGTAATTAATCATATATTGTAGATGAATGAGAGTTCCGGTAACATATACTCAGAACAGGTAGCATTACACCTACTATGTCAGTGCCGTCATGCACCTTGCAAGTGTAAGCGACAAGTGAAATGTTCATTGATAAAGAGACATTCAAAAGACACCCGGCAGAGTCATGTATTAGAGACATTTGCAATGGGTGCCTTAAGCTGACCGTGGATATAACAGACTAGATGGTTACTGAAAACAGGTGATCAACAAAGCGGAAATGCTTGATATTCAGTGCTTAAAAGGACTGTGAATATTAATGTTTCCATCTGCGTAATATTGGATAGGGAGATGAAAAAGCTGATTGTCCAATATAATTTTCACTGAGCGAGGACTACTGTCAGTCAACCACTTCAGGTTCTACAAACCGATACCACCTACGATGTGTACAAAATAGGTCCGGATAAATCCTTTCAATAAAGAAGTCCTAACAATACTTCTAATTACACAATGCTTAAAATGATTACTAGTATGCCATCAGATTTCAGTACAGGGTCCTTGAATGGTGTTAGTCTACTATCCGTATTTAAAGACTCTCGTTGACAACTACATTTCTCACTCTTTCTATTAAAAGGGGTGTCGAGACGCAGCATCAACAAATAGCATTGGACTAACAGATGACGCATTGCAAGTGAGAGTTGTGTTGAAACAAAATGAAGTTTGACAACATTCTGGAGACAGTGGGCGCATTTGGTCCTTCCCAAAGGCGTCTGTATATACTTCTCAGCCTGCCCGCCATTTATAATGCTGTCATCCTTATGGTCATCTCTGTGTTTCTCTTTGCTGTTCCTGAACACAGGTAAGTTCATCAGAAGAACATGTCCTCCAAACTATTATGGTGAAGTGAACTGTTGTTCATGCAGTGGATACTGAGTGTATCATAAAGTCGATAAACTAATGCATCTTTAAGCCAGTAGGCAGCATTACAATATGGATACTAATCATATCATGGGGGACTTCAGAGAAATCAACTCTGCCCTTCGGGACTCGGTAATGAACACATTTGAGTGACGTCTCCAAAGTCACCGATGCATTGCTTATCCATCCTTGAAGTTGATCTAACTTACCTTTTCATACCTGTCCACCCTGGATAAACAAGACAAAAACCTTTGTATTTTGCATTTCAGGTGTGCTATTCCCGGGATGAAAAATGATACCTTCCAGATTCAAAGAGAGGCTCATGCTGACCTCATCAACAGGACAATGCCGCATGACAATGATAACGTCGACCTACCTCGTTCATCATGCTTCATTTATTCAACGTCTGAAAATGTGACATCCCGCGATATGAATACCGTCACTGAGCCATGTCACAAGTGGATATATGATAAAAGCGTGTATCAGTCGACTGTTGCGCAAACAGTAAGTAATTCAAGTTGAACTTACGGTTTAGTTTTCAGCATAGAAAAGGCTGGAAGCGTGGACATTTATTGCTTCTAAAAACAACTGGTTTTAAAAGCGCACTTCACAGCGTAGTGTTCGCTGTCCAGAGGACTTTGTCGGCGGTATCTGCTGAAACAATGAAACTAGGGGGGTCAAGGGGCTTCTTCAAGAAGCAGCGGATACGAAAGAAAACGTGTTTGTACTATTGAAGCCATGTAAATAAGCTTCGTGTACTACTCGCAACTTATATAGCATAAAGCCTTAGACTTTCTCATCAGCAACCCATGGTCGTATCCCAGTTGCGTAGATCGACGTACATCCTGGGCTGTCTGCCCAGACTTGATTATTTACAGACCGCCGTCACATACGAAGAATAATGCTGAATGCAGCGTTAAGCAATAAACAAACATTTTTATTCTCAGATGGACCTTGTGTGTGACCGGAAGCTGTATGTGAGTCACGCCAAGATGATGGCCATGGTTGGGCAACTCGTTGGAGTTCTTATTGGTGGCCCCATGTCCGACAAGTAAGTACCACCATATTTGTTGCTGTGGAAGCCTTAAGTTTGATTAGAATAGCTTAGGGAATCCATCACACTCAACAAATTCTTATCACTATTTTACTGAAACTCAGCGCTCTCATAGGAGAGGTCCATGGTCGAGATGAGACAAACCCGTGTGTGATTCATATTTCCGTCATGCTGGTGTTTCCGTTGCATGAGTGAGGTAAAATGTTACATGGCGTCGGTAATATTACAACTATACAGCGATGAAAACAAGATATTGCTTTTAAGAGAACTGTCGAGTAAGGACAGTAAAATAGTTAGGTAAATCACAATTTAAGAACAAAACCAGCCTACCTGATGAAAATGAAGATAGACAGATATTCAATAGATTCGTTCTTAAACTAAGGCCCATCTTATTGGAGATCAAAGGAACTTTGCTTCCCAAATGATTTCTCAGCATGATTTACACCATCCCTTTAGTTGTTTCCTTCAGGGTGTCCTGACCATGTGCACTTTATACATGTTCGGTGCAATGGTTCTCTAATGGTATTTATTCTGACGGCTAGAGCATGATGTCTCTGTCTAGTCATACCAACTTCGCCTCACCCCCTAGCTTACCAAGTCCGACTACAAGATAGGCATGTGATCACGAATCACGCTTAAGTAGTGATTTTCGCAAATAGTGGTGGCTCTGAAATTTCACTTCTACACGAAACTCATGTAATACACAATAGATTTTGACAGTATTTTTCATGTAATGAAAGAGAAAAAGCACATGCACACTTTATAAGTAGTTTAGGTCGTAATATGCAAATATGCATCACCAATGTCGATTTAAAGACGGCCGTTGCTGCTTTCTGTGTTGTAGGTTCGGACGGCGGAGAGTCATCTTAGCTAGCGTGTTTGGTTCGGTTCTACTGAGCATCTGTCTCACCTGGATCACGAACTACTACCTGCTCATCACTGTAGTATTAGTCATCACAGCGAGCACTAACGTGCAGTACCTATCTTGTTTCGTGTTCAGTAGGTTCTTGTTGTTTACTTTGATTTAGACGTGTTGTTATTTTCATTTGTGAAGCAAATGAAGAGATTCTTTTACTGCTTGAGGGAAAAGACTAAAATGGAATCGGAATGTGTGACTTGGTTGATTGATTGTCATCGTTCAGCTACGGCGTTGCCCGTTGGTTAAAATATTGTGTGCTAGTCGTCTAGGAACGAAGCGGATGGTGCGTAATACACAGCCCTTACGAATCGAAAATCTGAGAAACGTGAAAGATACGAAGAACAAAAGCTTTTAAACGTAGTATATTTGTTCCTTTAAAATTCGGCTAAACTCTTCCTACAATCGCCAGCGGCTGAAGGGATGGTGTAAATCCAACTGGGGTCCATGCAGGTAGCTAAGGCACTGTCAGTCCCCATGGTCCCTAGTATGGTGATCTACCTTCAGTTGTTGGTGATCTTTAGCCCATTTTTACATTGTATTGTCCAAAAATAATTTTCTACTTTCAAAGATATATGCTAGCTAGTTTTAACTCAATCTCTGCTACTCTAGTGGTTTTACTGTCCTTCGTTGACAGGGTTTTATATATTATATGTATGTATTATGATTTTAAAACTAGTTTTAGTCACGATATGGCTGAAATTTTGCCTTTAAATCTTAACTCACTCACTCACTCACTCATGAATAAACGGTCCAATACCCCCCAACGTATATTTGTTACAGCTAAGGTAATAGATCAATTTAAGAGCAAAACATTACTTTTTAGTTTAACTTAACGCAGTGTGGTATACACATGCCTGGATATTAATACATTAGGACACTGGCATCGATCAAAAGTTTCATTTTCTGCAAATTGTTAAATCCAGTGCATTGTTTTTAAATAAATGAAGTTGGTCAAATGCCATGTCGCCAGTTTTGATGAAATGTCCATCACTATTTTTCAGCTTGACATGTACATGTGTAGAACAAAACATAATCTTACCCATTCACCTTGAATGAATGCAATTTATCTTTGCATTAATGGTACTTGTCATTATTTGGGGTTTAGAATATCTCTCTGCATAACGTGTCAATACATAGAAATATTCCATGCGTAGAAATAAGAGTGAAATGTTCGTTACCGCCGCCAAATTAGGGAATTGTGCTTTTTTAAACATAGTTTAAGTTTTACATTTAGAACACGAAGTATGCCAGATGGAGACAAAATATATTCAAAGCTTGTGTGTGGTTAATGAACTTACTGCTTGATTTGCCTGAGTATGTAATCTCCGTTACTGAAATGTTCGTTTCTAGGGTATTCGACACTACATAGCTTGTGAAGTTCTGATAATATTTCCGTCGAGACTAGCACATCATCCAGTACTTCATATTCCGCAAACCGATTTTTCAAAGAAACACTAAACAGACAAAGTGAAAACAGATGAATATTGGGTTCATCACGACGTGAGTTCTGATCACAGGTTCTTGTATGACAAATCAACTGCAATGCCTTGGTCAGTGGAAACGGCGAATTTGGCAAAAGGAAAAGCAAAACCAAATGTGGCGTTTTCAGCGTTCTAGAATGCATAAACTTCGTCCTAAGCTATAACTTCAGTACCATAACACTATTACCGCTTTGTAAAATATTTCATTGATACCAGCATCTAAATCATTAAGTGGGAGTGAGTAAGTATAGTTAAAAGTCTTGAACAGTCCCGCAATGTCGCACTAGTATTGTGATCAACAAAGTGTATCCGTGTGGGGCATTATGCCATAAACCTATAAATATTACTATTACCATGAACATGTGTGACATATGGCAGGTGAGGTGAGGTGAAATTGGGTTTTACGTCGTGCTTGAGAATATTTCGCTCATATGACGACGTGCATGCGTGTGTATATGTGTATGTGCGGCTGCTTGTACTAGCCCAGACTTAAGCTGGTTTTTATAGTGATAGCCCACTGAGATACCATGCCGCAGTGAAGCATGAATACCCCACTCAGACACATTGTACTGACTCCGAGCTGACCAGTCCTTGTTGTACCCATTAATGCAAAGCGCCAGGCAGGGACCAACAAATACCATATTTTAACGTCTTTTGGTATGACGCGGTCGGGGATCGAAGACATATAACAGTCAACATTGTGCATGTTTCGGCCAATACCTACTTGTTTCCTGTTGGATTAACTTTTAATCTAAAAGTATCAATGGCACCAAATGCATATTCATTAACGCCGCCATATAGCTTGAATATTGCGTAACTAAACTGACTCACTCACTCATTAACGCAGACCTACAGAATTTGTTATAAATGAAGTTGAAAAAATTAGTGATTTTGGTCATTGCCTCCTTGAACTGTAATTTTATGGATTGACTCGAATGTTAATTTTGTTTAACTTCTAACGCTACACTCAGCAATAGTTCAGCAATCTCTAACTGGGAGGTGTTCACGTATGTGAGTGAGTGAGTTAAAATTTAAGATCACTTTGGCAATGTTTCCTACCTACTTGTGTGTCCCACTTCTTCTGCATCAGATTACGGATATAAAATCTGATGATAGCTTTATAATCAGAGTATGGAAGGTTCATGTATGTGTAAACAAAGATGAAATATAACAAAACTGTAAAGATATTGTTGATCCTAATTATTTTTCTCCAGGTATGGAATGTGTCGGTCCCTCTAAACGAATGTTGGTTGGAGTGGCCATGAATTTCTTCTGGAGTGCAGGAAACATCATTGTTGCTTTGATGGTCTTCCTGATGCGAGACTGGAAAACCAGGCAGCTTGCAATTAGCGTTCCAGGTGTTCTGTTTGTTTATCTCTAGTAAGTAGTGTTGCGTATATCTAATATTATAATGATTCAATAAGAATGTATATTATATTTTGAAGATTATGGATTGATTATATGCAATGTATTTTGCTCTATGTCGTTCATAAAGACAAGATACGGGAATGGATGTCTGCTATCATATGAATGCTTACATCCAGCAAACAAAATGATATTTGTTCAGCATTGTTCTAAGTGGCAGCCTCTTTCTTATCAAACTACATCGATGTGCAAGCGTCACACTGTTGAAACACCTGACGCTGAACGTACATTACAAAATCTGAGAGCTCTTTATTTCTATTTTAGATCATATTTTCCTCCTCTTGTTTAAAATAATAATGCAGGAAACACGCCTTGATTTAGTTTGATGTAGACTTTCCCAGGCCATTTCAGTAAGACATTGACAAAACATAATTTTCCACAGTGTTGGTGCAGGAGTGAGATAAAAGTTTCCCAAGCGAAAATGAAAAAGCTCGCTGAGCATTGTTATTTATAATGTTTCAACCCTTTCACAAAAGCAATGGCTGGAATGGGGTTTCATTTGCTATGTGCACACATAGTACGTGTGTATTTTCTTCCGACGTAGTGCATCTATCATTTTCCAGTTTCCTGCCCGATTCCCCAAGATGGCAGTTTAGTAGAGGGAAAACTGCAGAGGCGAGCAAAACTGTGATGAAATTTGCCAAAGGAAACAAGGTTAGGCTCACTCAAGATATGCTTCATGACGTGACATGCACTCTGGATAATCATCAGGAACAGTTCTGGGAATTGCTGAAGTCCCCTGTCATGTTGAAGAGGATTCTCATTATCTCATACACCTGGTAAATGCATTTAATAACGACATATTACTGCAGCAAAGAAATGGGAACTATTACAAACCCAGTTTAGAGTGAGTGAGTGAGTTTAGTTTTACGCCGCACTCAGCAATATTCCAGCTATATGGCGGCGGTCTGTAAATAATCGAGTCTAGACCAGACAATCCAGTGATCAACAGCATGAGCATCGATCTGCGCAATTGGGAACCGATGACATGTGTCAACCAAGTCAGCGAAACTGACCACCCGATCCCGTTAGTCGCCTCTTACGACAAGATAGTCGCCTTTTTATGGCAAGCACATGGGTTGCTGAAGACCTATTCTACCCCGGATCTTCACGGGTCAAACCCAGTTTAGAGCAACGGGGTTTACATCAGTATCAATAAACATAACGTGATTATCAATATAGAGATACCACAGACGTTCCAGCATTTGATCTGATTAAATGAATGTCATCCTATATAAGCACATCAACAGAATTCTAGGTTTAAATATGGATAATGTGCTTGACTGATAAAGTACTCTACATATCATTATCTCTGTCACTATGACAAAGACTTGTAAATATATGTGTTCGTTTCATTTTTGGTTTCTGTTGATAGGCTTGCAATTGGTATGGGGTTTTATGGTCTCAGCATGAACGTCACAAACCTCTCTGGCAACGTCTACCTAAACTTCTTACTGTTTGTTCTGGTAGAGGCATGTGCGTATGTCATATGTCTTCTCCTGATGGAGCGCATTGGGCGGAAGAAGATGTTGTGCACTGCAATGCTGATGGCAGGAATAGCATGTGCTCTGTCGTTCGTCCCGTTCTTTGTCACAGAAACCCGTGAGTTTACATGATGCACATATACATTAGAGAATACGAATCCGTTGCCCAAACTGACGAAAAGAAGTGTGTAGCTATGTAATCATATGTGGTATATTCATGTGCTCTATTTCCTGTTGTAGCTAACAAGTGGATCATCAACATTTTGGCGTGTTTGGGCAATACGTGTGTATCTACAGGATTTGCCGCCGTTTATGTCTTCACTGCAGAGCTGCTGCCCACAACTTCTCGAAACTTTGGCATGGGCATCTCTTCTGTGTTTTGTAGAATTGGCAGTATATCGTCACCATATATTAATGATCTGGTTAGTAATCCAAAAAGCCTGCAACAGCCCTGCATACGTGCATCAGATCTATCTGTTTAAGATTGTGAATAACCCTTATCATCGTTGTGAGACTCCGTTGATCATATTAAGTTCAATATTGTTTTCCATTGTCGTCCTTTGTTACTGATATGTTTTGTGTTATTCATACGTGGTATCCAGTGACATAACTTGCTTTAGTAAGATATCAGTATATTCATTACCTGGATTATTTCAGACAATGCACCTATCAAGCAGATACAGCCAGATTCTACCCATGTTGATATTTGGGGGTGTCTCCTTCATTGCTGGACTTCTCGTACTTCTGTTGCCGGAAACACTGACGGTAAAGCTTCCAGAAACAATTAAGGATGCGGAGAGACTAGGGACGTGAGTGGATTTTGGTATTTGTTACCAATTGTAAAGTCATTTTTGGAACTATGTACTATTAATTCATGCTAATGTATCTATTGGGAACAAACTCCCGGTTTGGAAAGAAGTGCCAAGCAGTATACTGTTTGCATGGTCTTCACGAGGAATGGGAAAAAATATAGACTGTCATTGGTTATAGTTATTGGCTTCCATTTTAGGTTTAGTAATAAGTATGCGAATGAAAAATTCACTAGAATAAGCTAGGTTTAGATACTTGAAATATATTAAGCTAGTTTGATGACTTGATGTCATATTCAAAGGCTGAAACAGGTATGATCATATCCCTTTATAGATCGTTGGACATTTCATTGTGATAAACATAATAGCATTGATTTATTAGATGATCGGTCTAGTCATATATGTGTTGTTTATGGATATGGGTAAAAAAGCTTCACGTTAAATTAACTTTCCTTTCCGAAGTGTAATAATCCTTTTGATTGTCAGAAAATATTTCTCGCATGCAGCAGAATTATCATGTTACAACTTTTTATATGCTCACATTTTAATTCTTTTATAAACTCAAAAAACGTGAGGCTGGTAAATCTCCAGTCCAATGTAGCACAAATATACCATCATCATGAGGGTTTGGTTATGGGCTATTGTTATTTCATCGTACTGTTGAAACACATACGTATGATCTAGTCTGAATTTTGCAATCGAGTGGGTATGTGTCTTTGAATATATAACCATAGCATGGTATTACGAAGTTGTTTATTCAACAGAAATGTCACTGGTGACACCATACCTTCTCCAGCACAAGAACTGCTTCGCCTTGACAGGGAATGTGACAGCAGAACCACTGAAACAGCTTGACTTCTTGATCCAAGGGTCCTGACCATTTCAGTTATTGTCAAAGAATAATGTTTCACCCAGGACATACATATATTAGGTTATTTTCTGGCGAGTGTCTTAAATCTCTCTCCTCGCCCTCTCTCTCTCATCGTCTGGTTATTTTGTATCAACATCGCTGCGTGTGTATCTTTATCGCAGTTCTGTGTAACATTCTATCCTATTACAGTCCGACAAATAAGAGGTTGATAGCATGACCAGCTTTGATAGAACGATGATATCCACATGGACTGTTGTAAGTTATTCAATGTTGATATTATAAGCATCGATCTGCGCAGTTGAGGCAAGTCATAAAGTCCGCGAGCCTGACTACCCGATCCCGTTAGTTGCCTCTTGCGACAACTATGCCCTGCTGGAAACCAATTCTAATCCGGATCTTCTGGGGTCAGTCCCAGAGTAAAGTATCAACGCACTAGATTATCACAGACGTTGTTTAAAAGTTGTATGTAAACATAAACATATATCATCATGTTTCAAAATGCAAAATAAAAACAGGCTATAGATCGCAAGCAGCTGAAGGGACCATGGGAACTTATGTACCCTTGCTATCTGCATGCACCCAGCAGGATTTACACCACACCTCTAGTAAATGGCGATTTTCAGCAAACGTAGCCAGACATAAAGTAACAAATCCGCTATGATTAAAACTCTGGCAATGACAAAAATACATTGAATGATTATTTTACACCAATGCAAGACCCTTTGAGGTCACAGCCATTCATGATTATGTATTCATTCGACCAGATTTAAAATTAACTTATTGGGTACAGTACACAACCAAATTATTATTTTAAAATATTTATATATTTTTAAATCCAAGATTTAAATGAGAACTAATGCCAGTAAAAAGATCTTTCGAAGATGATGATTTGAAATATTGATCGCTTGTGATAGAAACCTCATCATCTATGAAGTGGTCATGCGTGACTGAGATTTTTCTTATGAGATTCATTGCAAGATAGAGCTGTACAAGAGCTCCCGATAAACAGAACCTGCATTTACATGTGTACTTCCTAAATGTAGGATGTGATAAGTGTGGTGAAATGTACTTCAGCTAACAGAGGTTTGCTATAATCATAATTAGTTGGAACAGAGTAGCATCACTGTAAAACATTGCCAGTAGAGTGATCTGCCCTGGTGGCTGTGTAATGGCTACCATGCTAACCACATGGTTTCCTAAAAAGGACCTTGTTAACAGAGGTCCTTGTTTTAATAGAAGTCCTGAGACTATTACATGGTGCCAGAAGTGACTCGTCCCATCCCAGTATCTGTCTATCCTCAAGATGGAACGTTTGGATCCTCCTAAAGCTCTGGAACTTACTGGAAATGTCATTGAAAAGTGGCGCCGTTTCAAGCAAGCATGGGAATGCTATTTCACTATTCTTGGTGGGAAGCAAAAGCCAGATAACTACAAGCCATCATTACTGCTTCATGTCATAGGAGAGGATGCAAGGGAAGTATATAAATGTTTTCAATGGGAATCAGAGAATGATGCTCTCAAAGTAAGTAAAATTTGTACTGTGTTAATGTCCTGTGAAGAATGTTACTTTTGAACGGTATAAATTATTCACATGTGCTCAGCAACTTGATCAATCAATTGATCAGTATGTCAGTGATCTACAACAGAAAGCTAAATGCTGTGAATGTGGTACTTTGAAGTATAGTCTTATCAGAGACAGGATCGTTTGTGGTGTGCATAACCGTGCATATCGTGAGAGATTACTAAGAGATGATCAGCTGACACTTCAGAAAGCTATTGACAAATGTCATGCAGCAGAAATGACCAGTACTCAAGCTAAAGAAGTTGGTGAAAATACCACTATTCACTCTGTTAGAGCCAGACCAAAAGACAACAGTCACAATTAACCAAACAAGAATTATGTGGACGTTGCGGTACCAACCACACACGCCTGAGATGTCCAGCTTACGGTCAGAAGTGTTTGAAATGTGATCGTTTGGGACATTTTGCATCACAGTGTAGAACTAGACAGAAGCGTTCACGCCATAAATGTGTACATGGAATTTGAGGCTACTGACCCAGTTACAACAGAAGCTGACTTTCTGTGGATGTTGTAGATTCTGAAATCTCAAGAGATACAAGATCCAAAGCATGGATAATATCTCTAGATATTAATGGAACACAAGTACCTCTCGAATTGACAGTGGTCCAGATATGAACATTATGAGCCTTCCACAATGGAATAAACTGCAATACCAGCCAACGCTAGAACCTTCCAAAGTGAATTTTAAAGCTTATGGAGGCACAGTTATACCGGTCAAAGGGCAGGCAGGAGTGACAATCACCTACAAGGGACGGACCTACAAGACAGTATTTGCAGTTACACCAGAAAATCAAAGATGTATTCTTGGTGTTGAGGATTTTGATTGAATTGATCTAATTCGAAGAGTATATGAAATAGATGTTGATGAGAAAGCTTTGAACAGTGATGCCACGACAATGCCTGCATATATTCTCAGTGAATATGAAGATGTTTTCACAGGACTTGGGTGCTTACCAGGTAAGCATACCATTACAGTTGATAAAAGTCAACCCAGTCATCAAAACCTGTAGGAAGGTACCTTTTGTACTGCATGAAGCGCTGGTAAGAAGAGCTTGACAGAATGAAGTCACTGGGCGTCATCCAAGAAGTCACAGAACCAACTGAAAGGGTGAGCTCAATGGTCATAGTGCACAAGAAATGTAACAAGCTAAGGATTTGTCTGGATCTTAAGAATTTGAATATTGCTTTCAAAAGAGACCATTACAAACTTCCGACTCATGAAAAAGTGATGTCGCAGTTTGCTGGAGCCAAAGTATTTAGCAAACTAGATGCATCATCAGGTTTTTGGCAAATGAAGCTTGACTATGCCAGTTGTTTGCTGACGACATTCAACACTCCGTTTGGGAGATATCGCTATCTTCGACTCCCATTTGGTATTTCAAGTGCACTCGAAGTGTATCATCGTACCATACATCAACTCTTTGAACATAGTCAAGGACCTGACACTAGCATGGATGACATGATTATTTGGGGTCAAAGCATGGCACAGCATAATGAGCGGCTGATAGCAGTTCTCAACAAATGTAGACAAGTTGGTCTGAAGCTAAACCGAGAAATAGGAGTAACAGAACTAACATTCCCTGGAGTTAAGATAACTACTGAAGGTCTGAAGCCTAACCCTAACAAGTTCAAAGCGATCATGGAGCTGGAAAAACCTTCAGAGAAGAATGAAGTCCAGAGATTCCTTGACATGATAACTTACATAGGAAGGTATGTTCAGGATCTGTCTTCCGAATCAGCACCACTAAGGCAACAGTTGGAAAAAGATGTCCACTGGATGTGGTCAAACGAGCATGACAAAGCATGGACAGACCTGAAGAACATGAGTGCAGAAGAACCAGTTCTCCAGTTTTATGACCCTACAAAGCCACGCAAAGTCTCTACAGATGCCTCGCTCACAGATTGGATTAGGTGCTGTGCTGCTTCAAAGACATGGCGACACATGGTGTCCTGTAGCATATGCGTCAAGAGCTATGACTCCAGCAGAAACTCGATACGCTCAAATAGAAAAATAAGCACTTGTGGTTGTACCCGGTAGTCTTCGCAAAACTATGTTGCAGAAAGTGCACGCAGGTCATCTAGGTCAAGAAAAGTGCAAACAGCGTGCTAGAGAGGTGATATTCTGGCCTAGGATGAATCATGCTATTGATGTCATGGTCAGTGGTTGTGATGCATGTCTGACTTACCGTCATCGACAACAAGTGGAACCTTTGATGCCTCATCCTGTTGCTACAAAAGCATGGCAGTTTGTGTCAACTGACCTGTTTGAATTATCATCAAACTACTACATTGTCATTGTTGACTCATACTCAATCAAGCTTAGCTGTCATTAAAGCACTGAAAGCCACATTTGCCAGACAGGGTATACCAAATGAACTGTACAATGACAATGGACCATGTTTTTCTGGAGCAGAATTTGCACAGTTTGCAGCTGACTGTGAATTTAAGCACAATACCTCGAGTCTGAAGTTCGCACAATCAAATGGACTTGCGGAAAGAACTGTCCAAACAGTAGAGAATATCATGAATAAATACAAGGACGGTGGTGATGATCCACATCAGCCTACTGCAGTACACCCCTCGATAATGGCCTCTCCCCATTCAGTCCAACCTACTTATGAAAACAACTTTGCTGAACACACCCGTCATTGATCACAAGCTTTAATCTAAAGAAAAGCAAAAATGCTACTTTGACAAGAATGCTGTAGCTACCCCTCTTCCACAGCTTCAACCAGCAGCAATATTAGAGTCCATAATGATTCTACAAACACATGGGCAACGACGGGAAAAGTCATGCAGGAACTAGCTCCATGATATTATCTAGTACAGGTTGAGTCAGGTGGCACCCTGAGACGCAATCATCCTGATTTGCTACTCAGCAAGCAAGTCGACAATGAATGTCCTACCAGTACAGCACATCAAGCAGCTACAAGTGCCCCAGTCAAGCACCTGATGAACAACAGCAGAACGACTCTACTGTTATCAGAACTCGGTCTGGTCGTGAAGTTCGCAAGTGAGAGAGACTGGTTGAAGAAAACTGATGTGTTCAAATGACAGTTAAAATCTTGAAGTATAAAACTGGAAGTTTCTAGTGTCAAGGGAGTAGGGTTTTACTCCGAGAGAGACTTTAAAGTGTTTATTTCATTTGAATGAGTTCATGTTTCAGGATGACTGGTTGCATAAAACATACCTCATTATATAGTTGTTTTTAAGTCCAGTCATTCCTGCATTTAAGTTGATCTGTGTATCATAAACTGAAAGGGTTTGTTTAGCTTAGAAAGGGAGATGTGGTGAAATATACTTCAGCTAACAGAGGCTCGCTATAATCATAAATAGTTGTAACAGAGTAGCATCACTGTAAAACATTGCCAGTAGAGTGATCTCCCCTTGCGGCTGTGTAATGGCTACCATGCTAACCACATGG